TGTTAAACCTCTCAAAAAGAAGGAAAGCGAGGAGGGAAGGAGGAAGAAGGAAAAGGTAGAATAAGAAGGAGAAAGAAAGAAGACTTCGTCTTTTATCTTCCTTGCCTGTGTAGTGAAACACAAATTGACCATTCTACTATTTTAACACCAACTTAAAAATGTAAAGCATTTAAAAAGATTTCAAGTTACTACAAGGCACAATGTCTAATAATTAAAACTATTCATCAGCAGACCTGTCTCCTATGTAATTTGTTATCACTAATCCCTGGAAGGGGCTAATTGATTTAATTGACCTCTGGGGTCACTTGCAACTCCAATTCTATAAACCTGACTTTATAGTTTGTATCATTCCTTCTCTTTTGAAACTAAGAATGGTAACAGTCCTCTACACCTTTTTAAAACTGATCGCTAAGTAAAGAGTTATTCATTTAACAAATACGTATAGGCAACCCAGGGAAATTGGATAGTATAATTTACAGTATAGTGAGGGAAATGGCAGGAAGATACGTGGCTAAAGATAGAATTATAGTACAGTATAACAAATGGCTGAGCTCTATGTTCAGAGTCTTTCAGGCACAGAAGGAGTTAACTCTGGGGAAGTGAGGGAAGACTTCATAGAAGTGACATATGGGCTGATTCTTGAAAAGACTAAACAAGTAAAGATTTATCATTCACACGATAGCAGCAGTTGTATGGCACATCAAAACAATGGACCTCTGTAGCGATAGATGTTAAATAGAACAAGGAGATTCTCTGTTTGTAAATAATGTGTAAACTTCTCTATATGTAAATAATGTGGAACTAGCTCCAAGAAATAAATATCAGGTGAATAAAACCATGGTACAGAAATATGAATGTAAAATGTCTTTACCATTTTTGTGGTATAATTTTTATTGACCATATCTTTTAGTAATTTATTTGGCTGCATATAATATGACTCTAACAAACAGTAGTTGAAGGAGTACAGTGTTTATTTACCTTGGGTAATAAAAAGTCTAGAGATGGGCACATCAGAGCTGGTGTAGCCTTCAAAGAAGTCATCCCCCCGGGGGCCAGGCCTCTCCTTTTTTCCTGCTCACCATTCTTCTGTGAGAGCCCTCTTTGGAATCCTTAGGTCTCTACTGTGCCTCCAGGCAGCTGGACCACATTCCAATCAGAAGAAGGGGTAAGCCCAAAATGCCAAAGGTCACAGCAGCTGAATCTGTCCCCTTATATTAGGAACTCAGTAGATTTCTCAGAAACTTCATCTAGTGAACTTCTACTTAAATTCATTGGCCAGACTGTGGGGTATGATCACCTCTAGCCTCAGGGATCTCAGGGAGGTGAGTGTTTTTAAGTGAGTACATTGTCACTCCAAATATAATCAAAGGTGAGTTAGTAGTGAGGAAGGAAAAAGTGAATAGGTAATGAGCAGTGTCTGCCCTCCTCATTGTTAAAGCTTAGAATGCTAAAAATTTTGAGAAATGTTGAAAGAAAATGGACCAAAACAGATGAAGTTGTTAAACATGCAATTGAAAGGAAGTAATGTGGTGAAAATTCTTTTGAAAATATTGATTAATCCTCTAGGTTACATCCAATGTGGTAATTACTTCCTTACTCTGATTGCTTAACATACATGGTATTCATTTGTGACTCTTTTCCAATTAAGATTTAGTATGAGGGCCAGCTGAGTGGCGCGATGGTTGGGAACTGGCTTGGGACACCAGAGGGCCCCAGTTCGGATCCCTCATATGAGGGCCGGTGACACTGCCCTCCACAGCTAAGATGCTGAACAACAGCTCAACCTGGAGCTGGGCTGCCATGAGTCGCCGGCGACGGCATAGGCTGCAGCCCCTGTGGCAGTGGGTTGCCATGGGCTACCGTGTGTAGCCAGCAGCCAGCGTGA